CGAAAAGTAGCCATTTTTAGTCCAAATCGAAATGTAATATTCCAAGTGTAATACTGGTTGCCTATACGTAGCATCTAACATTCATTTGAATTTAATTAATAAAAATGCGACTTTAATGTACGAAACAAGATAAAAACAAATAGATTTATCTAGTGTTTTTTCGTTATCCACTCTCAATAACAACTTTTTTTAGTATGTTCAACTAAAAACAAAGTATATCTCGTCGGTAATATGTAATGTCACGCTACTGATTGTTTATCTACTTAAAAATAACTTTCTCAGCTCACGTTTTGTTAAAATAATTAAAAGTCATTAAATTATTTAATTGTTCTTTATACATGATGGTATTAATATTAATATCTGATAAGATTGTAGAACTTGCGTGATAGAGTGACAAAATGTGATTTTTCCTCGGCAGAAATTTTGAGAATCTTATTTCAAACTCGTGTGTTGAACCATCGTATAAATAGGTTAAACTGTGTTGTGTGTTATCGCCTTATAGCTATTTACGTTTTTTTATATTCAATTTTATTTCAAAGCAGTGGCGTTACCAGTTTTTTTATCTAACTGATTTTTTAAGTTCTGTTGTTAGCACCCATTTTAAGTTCTTAATAAAAGGTAAGTATTTTCTGGCTTAAGAAAAAACGGGTTAGGTATATTATTTTAGAATACCGAAGGTTCAGGGCCAAAACCCGTTAAGTGGGCAAAAATTATATACCTATTACGAAGCATAGTTTCCATTACTTTTTCGTTTAGTATATTATACAGGGCGTTTTGTAAAATATTGTATGCGAAAACCCGATATATGGGTAAAGATCAATTTTTATTTTGGCAAGTTTCTTAATTTTCAGGGCTTTTTATTGAACTAAAAATAAAACACTTAATCATTACAGTAGAGCGAAAATCCGATAAGTCGATGGCTTATTGACTTAATTTCAGTATAATTAAAGCAAATTTCAATTAAAAATAAATAAATAGAACAATCCAGTTTGATCTTTATATTTACTAAAAAATTTAGTTTGATGGCAAAACAATATCTTCATAACTAAATTTTATTAAGTATACTTATCGGATTTTCGCCATAGACTCTCGATATATTATTCAGTGGTGTTGGAAAGTACTTTTAGTTATTTTAATATAATTTGTTGTAGTGTGATATCTATTTTATACTCAGACAAATACGTTTTCATAAATAAATATTGTTATCATTTTGTTAGATAATTGTATACTATTTACTGTTGGTTATCTTCATTAAATAATCTAATTCAAGTCAATTTTAAACATAATATACTCATTCATTAGAGTTATACTCTATTGGTTTAGACATTATTTTCAATAAATCAAAAAAACAATCAGGTGAGTAGGAGTAGGAACTAAACATATTTTATATTAGTGTATACCTACCTACTATAAGTGTATAATGTCTTTTTCATACTTAATAACCTAAAATAATATTTAAAATTTGTAGAGTTTCGTTAGTGGGTTGTAGAAAAAATATACTGTACAACTTGAGTAGATTGTCCGTATCGCACGACGTCGTAGGCGGAGCGCTCAAACTTCGTCTTCGTGCGATATTGCCATCATATCCACTCTTGTTGCATATTGTATAGCGATCAACTACTTTAACGATTTTTTTATTGTTTAATAACGAGGGCTCTTTTTTAAGTTTTGCATATAGACCTAGAATAAAACAGCAGATAGTGTTTAAACATTTTATTGTTTTTCAAAGTATTCTCCACGAAGATTAATGCACTTTTGCATGCGCTCAAACCAGCTCTGAAAGCAGTTATTCCACTCCTGGGGTGTCACAGCTCCAATGGCTGTTTTGAATGCCTCAACTGCATCTTTTGGTGACTGGAACTGTTGCCTACGCAGTGCGTTCTTCATTTTCGGAAAGGTAAAAAAAAATCGTTTGGACTTAGGTCGGGACTGTAAGGAGGGTGGTCTAACAACTCGACATTTTGTTGCTCTAAGAAGGCAATTGTTTTGCGAGCTTTGTGCGCACTTGCATTGCCTTGATTGAGGATGATTCGTCGTTTGGGGTTGGTTTCCCGAAGCTTAGCGATGACTGCTGGCAAACAAATCGTTATATACCAATCGGCAGTAACAGTTTGCTCTTGCAGAGGAATTGTTGTAACATGACCTGCTTTGGAGACTATTGTGTTCGCTGTTAGGTAATAAAACACTGGGTCCCAATACTCCGATTTTAATATAAAGTGTTAAACTACAAGCAATGCAATGTTAACAATTATAAGTCTTCAACATTAAGCGCGCCAACCTCTGACAACCTGTCAAACGTCAGTGTCTCTCCAAATGTCCAGACCAATAATACCAACTCATACATTGCAGCCACATATGTACATAACAGAGACAAATGTTGCGACCATCTTTTTAGACACACTTCGAGAACGGATCACTTTTGTCGGCTTGTATTCACCTTGGAAAACCCAAACAGACGATTTGCGTTTATTTTCAGGTTCATATGAGTAAATCCATGATTCATCATCACTTGCGATGCAGTACACGTTTTTAAAGTTTCCAGCGTTGAAGCGTTCAAGACTTTTTTGACACCAATTTACCCTAGCTTCTTTTTGTTCTTCGGTCAACAGATGCGGTATCCAACGAGATACTAATTTTTTTACTCCCAATTCTTCATGCAAAATCTTTTGGATTGAGTTCTTTGAAATCCCTAACGATGCTTCAATCGCGCGATACGTCACATGCCGATCTTCCTCGATGAGCCTGCGCCCAGCATCAATGGTTTCCTGGGTGACTACCGATTTAGGTGCATCTGTTCTTGGCTCGTCACTAAGATTAACCCGTCCTCGTGTAAATTCTCCATACCAACGAGAAATTGTCGATTGATGTGGTGCATCACTACCGAAAACAGAAACCAACTCGGCGAGGCATTCTTGTTGAGATAATTGTCTTCGAAAGTTGTAAAAAACTATGGCCCGAAAATGTTCTCTGTTTAAATCCATTTCTTGAATAACTTGACAACTTTGAAAATTCGGTGTAACTACAACACTCTATGAATCGGACTGAAACTTGGAAGTTAGGCTAACTAAAGGCGACAGTTTATTTTTAATAGAGTCGTTTGATTCGTAACGCCCTCTAATTGCACGGCATGCAAAACTTAAAAGACAGCCCTCGTAAAACTAAAAATTATATGTAAATTCCACTGGATTCTGCTTATTATTCCCCTTTTTTCCTACTTTGCTTGTACTAATAACTTGCATGGACCTGAACTAGCCCAGAAAGAATAATAATTTTTAATAACAAAAGAAAATATGGCCTCTTTTCGTTTTGAGTAGTTTTATAAAAGGTTTTCCATAAATGGTGCTATTTTTTATAAAATTACTAACGATATTTTGGCCAAACTTAAGTTGAAATCTTGCCTTACGTTATTAAATATTTCTAGAATTATTTCATATACATATTCGTTTATCGCCGCTCATATTTCTTTAGGCAAATTTAAACTAATTAATAATACATCGCGTAGAACTGTCAATTATGAAATTCATGCCTATCTACTATGCGGGCGTGATATTTACAGCCATTGGCCAGTATTTATTACAGAAAGAACGTTATGTCACTAGTTATAGCCTTTGAGATAGAATAAAGAGGTGATGAATATGATACTAAAAATTTTACGTCATATGTCAAACTCGAGCTAGAGGAGCTGGCGCTAGTGAGTATGCGTGAAAATAAATACCATATTTTAAAAATTAGCTTCATTTAAATGATATATAAACCTTTTTATTCCGTCAATCTTGAAATATACAATTATTGACTTTAAATAAATCAAAATACGAGTCTAAGTCTCCATTTTGATTACACTTTTCCGTCACTCGAAGTGCGTCCATCTGTCATATCGCAAAACATGTTTTTCTACACCCACATGGATATTAGCTTTTCTAAGTACAGATTACAAAACGAAAAATTAGGGGATTGCCTTCAACTAAACGAATATATTTAATATCCATTCTAGGTAGTGAGAACACTGCAAAAAAATATGAAATCCACCAATCACCGTTCATATTTTGATCAACCAACTTCTATTATTTTAAAAATTTTAAATAAGTGACAATTCTATCAAACTAATTGTCAGTATATTTGTTTAGTTATTGAGAATAAACATACATTAAAATGAGTAATTCTTGTGTAAAATCAATAAATAATAGCATTTTAGTTTTTATTTCGTCTATAATTATAAATAATTTGTTAATTTAAACAAAACTATATGAAGTCAATTTAATTACGAGTATTAAATCAACAAAATTAAAAGAATAGGTGGTCCTGTGATTAGCGTTAAATTAATTATTCTTTTTTTTTGTTTATTTTATTTTAAAAATGATTAAAAGTCAAATTATTTTAAAATTAGTTATTTTGTCTTAATAACCTAAAATACTTTTTTCGTCTTCGTGCGATATGGCCATCATATCCACTCTTGTTGCACAAACTACTATTATGTCGTTTTTACTCCATTCTATCTCCATGGTTAGAATAAAATACGTGTAAAATACATAACATGCAAGTGTTTCGGAATTTTCTATCCATATCAAGGGCGATAATGTTTTCTTTCTGTAATTATGAGCGGTTTCGTAAGAACTACATTTAGTAGTGGCCATGGAGAAAAAGTATTCTTGCTTATATAAAGCTTACAATTTATTTACGATACGTAATAATCAGTGACGGCTCGTAACCAAAATTTTAGGGGTTCACAATGACAAAATATAGACCTCAGTACAGATTTAAATTAAAAACTTTCAGTGTTTTGGAAATGTATATTATAAAAACTGAAAGTTTTTTACCTAAATATGTACTGAGATCTATATTCTGTCATCGTGAACCCCCAATATTTTGGTCACGAACCGCTACTGGTAATAATCATTTATATTTAATTGAATGTTAGACTATACTATGAAAATTTGTTTGCTTGAGTAGACGAAAATCCCTTCGAAAATCTCCTAGAAACCACCCTGCTAATGTCCGAAATTTCAGTTCTAGATTATGTCTGGTCCGGCAAAGAAGAAATTCCGATTCGCCATCGATCGCGGGGGCACTTTCACGGACGTTTTCGCCAAGTGCCCCGACGGGAGAATTCGAGTCCTGAAATTGCTCTCGGAGGACCCCCAACATTACGATGACGCCCCGACAGAGGGCATTAGACGGATCCTGCAAGAGGTGACTATACGAATGATTAGAAAATATTTGAACAAAAAAAGGATTGTAGAAACGGTCATTGGCGTACGGACGAAAAACAAGTTATTAAAGACCGTTTCGAGATGTTTTGATTAAATTATCATAAAAGCTTGAAAAAAAAAATGTACAAATGCCAAGAATAAAAAAATTGATAGTTTTCTTCATCCTGTAGAGTGTACCCTCTTTGTCTAATCTTAATATTGATAATATGCTTATGATTTGCAAGTCCAGTAATATAACTCTTCCAAATTTCAAATCAATACGTTAAATAGTAATAATACAGGACCCGAAGTAAGGTGGACTTTCACCCATCTGTTTACCGCATGAAAGTTTTTTTTTATTAAATAAAATATTTTTATAAATATACCGCAAATGGGTTGCCTAAGAAAATCCGGTCATGGTCATTTTTTACTTTCCTTTCTGTTTACATCTTGGGAATACTTTACAGGGTGTCGTTTTTTTACTTTAAGAAAATAAATAGGTTTGACCGTATTTTATTAGGCAACCCATTTGCGGTATATTTATAAACATATTTTATTTAATCCGTTAAACAGAGAGGTGAAGGTCCACCTTACTTAGGATCTTAGACTATAACGAAAATATTGCAAAAAAACGAAAAATATAATTTTAGTTTAATATCCTGTATCTCAGCAGATAACATTTCATCCTGTATTAATAATTTGAGGTCCTAACCAATGGTTAAACTATTTACCATTTCTTATAACAGTAGAGGTGGGCGTAAAAAAACACAATTTAAATTGTATCACAAGGTAAAACATAAAAAAAATTACTTACATTATATTTTGAAAACAATGCATTAAAAATACATAAAATTAAATGTTTTTAAACATTTAATTTTGTCATAAGTATTATTTAAACAAAATTGTGCAATAATGTAAATTTGTAAGTATATTTAATATTTATCTACCAGAAATATCTTTGCTAGCAAATTCACAAAGAATTTTTAATTGATATAATAATGCCGTAGAAAAAGTATACTATTCAACTAGCAAGGAATGCTCATTTTAAAGGGAGATGCACCACACTTTGGAGCATTTCGTCTTCTATTAGGAAATGAGCACCGTATTTCTTGTTCGTTAAATAATGTGCCATTATTAAATTTCTTCTTAGGAAACTGGTAATGCCTTGGATAGTGACAAACACGTCAATAGCTCGCTAATAGAATGGATAAGGATGGGAACAACCGTCGCAACTAACGCCCTATTGGAAAGAAAAGGAGAAAAGATGGCTTTCGTCACCAATAGTGGATGCAAAGATATACTGCTCATGGGCAATCAAGCAAGACCTAAAATTTTTGATTTGGTAAGCTAAAAATTTCATTTCATTTTTATAACAGGTATTTTTGTATATATAGAGTCTTCAATAATAACTGTATCTCAAGAAATTTAATGAAAACGGCATTTCTTAGTGACTTTAATGACATTTTTGTCAAAAAGTGACATTGTTTTAGAGTTATTACTAAAGTTACTATTAGCGTCATTGAGATAGAATAAAAACGTCACATGTCAAACTCGAGCTAGTGGAGCTAGTCAGTTTTGGTGACAATAAATAACTTATTTAAATGATATAAAAATATTTTAATTCCTTCAATATTCAAATATAAATATATTGACTTCAAATAAATCAAAGTACTACTTTAGTCGCCATTTTGATTACAGTTTTATGTCAGTCCAAGTGCGTCCATCTGTCATATCGCAAAATAGTGTTTATGCTGTTTCTACTTCATTCTATCTCGATTATTAGCGTTGTCTCTGCTGCGTTTGTTTATCCACATTGGATGCATCTGAGGTGTTTTAAATCTTTGATCACGTGATTCAAGATACATAAATGTAGTAGAGCAGATGTGGATAAACAAACGCTTAAGATGTAAAAATGCATCGGATGTTGATATTCAAATGCAACAGTTGTCTCTATAAAGGTTTATATAATATTTATGGCTAAAATTAAGGTTAAGAAAAATATAAGAATGCATTATAATAGGAGAAAAATGTATATTTTAAAATAAGATGTACCTAAATAATCCTAATGATAATATCATATTATTATGTACGTTAAATAAATGTTTGAGATAAAAATTAAGACCTATTTTATTTTACTTATTTTTGATTGGCTGCTAATACATTCAACACACCCCAGGGGAATGACTACACAAACTATACTTAACAACACATACTCTAGCGCTGTCAAATTTGTCAACTTCAATAGTTTTACGACTTAAATATAAGAGCATGAATTCCCTCATAAAAGCTTTAAAACACCCAAGTATTTTCTTGCAAAATAACTCAATATTAGTAACGGCAACCAGACACCATTGGATGAAGGATTTCAAACCAGGACCGTATCCGAAAACCGACGTAGAAAGAAAAAAAGCAGCAGCTAAATACGGTTTGCATCCCAACGAGTACGAACCATACCCTGACGATGGTCAAGGCTTTGGTGACTATCCGAAATTGCCCATGGAATCGATGGAATCGAGAGATCCGTTCTATCCCTGGGATCATCCTGAATTGAAAAGAAATTTCAACGAACCTATGCATGCGGAGTACGATTTGATAAGAGAAGACAGGTACGATGTGAGCGCTAAATTGAGACTTCCAATGTGGGCCCTATGGGCTCAATTTTTAGGTACCATGTTTGGTACTTACTTGATTTACCGGTTTTTGGATAATGTGAAAATGTTCCATGCTGCTCTACCTAAGCAGTATCCCTTCAAGGGAGAAAAGCATTTTACGTTTGAATTAGAGGAATGAATGTATTTTTGTAATAAGTTAAGGTTATTTTTGAAAATATATTTAAAAGTATTAAACAAATTTGTTTTGTTTAGATAACAAATTGACTTAATGACAACTCTTTGGTTTGGGGACTGCTGGAGTGTGTTTAGAAACCTCGCACGGTGCGTCTGACCACATACATTAGAATAGGGTAAAGACGCGCCGCGCAAGGTTTCTAAACGCACTCCTGTGGTCCATACAGTGTACAAAATGTTATATTTTATGAAGAATAGAGATAAGGAGACGAATCCGCATACTAAATAAAACCGGTTCCAAAAAACGCATGCTAATTGAGCTTCTATAATTAACCGCATGGGCGCTGGTAATGCATACGTTGTTCAAAATACATGGCTTCTTATGGGAATTATACATAATTTTGTCAAAATAATAAAAATAAACTTGTTTACAGCTAAATAAAGCACAGAACATACTGTTGTTTTTATTTCTAAATAAGTCTTGCATGTTTTAATTGATAAATTATTTAATTTTATCAATATAAAATACAAATTAGGTATGTATGACCAAATTCGAAAAGGTTTCTTAATTTCTGAAATTTGATAAGTACAATTTTGAGGCAAATTTTTTTTTGAATTCTAGCAACTCTTTATCTAACATTAAAACTCTATAAAAAATAAATTTTTTTTTTCTATTAAGTTAAATTTAATGCATAGTTATTGTTGTTTGTAAGTCAGCATCTATTGTTGAAGTATGCTAGCCTCCTACTAACTAGCATTTAAAGAATTTGTTATTCTTGAATCAAGTAGTCATTAATTTTTGTTTTTTTTTGATTGATGTTATAATAGATTGAAGTGTATCAGAAATAAAAAGTCATATTTTTCTTTTAAGTGTTTAATTATACCAACATTCTATTTTGAATCTCACATTAAAAATTTCTACTGGTTATGGGTCCAGAAGAAGCACTAAAATAAATAGGTTTCAGTTTAGATAGTCAGAAATGGAAGCTACCAGTATTACCAAGATCCAAATAGGTTTACTTGAAGGCAAATCCAACTGGGTAACTTGGAAATACAAGATGTGTATTTTGTTAAAAGGCCTTCCTTGTGCTACAGATATTGTAGAAGGAAGATTAACGACACCAGGTCCATTAAATCCTCAGGCAAATGAAGATGAAAAGAAAAAATATAAAAGTGATCTGGAAATATTTGCAAAGGCAGATAATGATGTACTCCTAGCAATATGACTGAAGACACCCTGCAAAAAATTTTAAGATTGACAAATGCTAAAGAATTACACAGACTTTTTGATGCAAATGAGGAAGATAAAACATATGATAGATGTATGAAATTCTTCAATTATAGGAAACAAGAAGAAGATGATGATATCGCTACACACATGTCAAAGTTAAAAAACTTATGGAATGAATTACAAAATGATATTGTCAAAGACAAAATTTCGAATACTGGATGTAAGTGTGAACTTCCAGAAATTTTACTAGTTCGCAAGATTTTAGCTACACTACCTGAAGATTATTTTTCATTTAAATCTAGCTGGATGTTAATAGTAAAAAGAGACAGATCTGTTGATAACTTAACATATCAGTTATGTGCATACGGAAAAGAACTAGCACGAAAAGATCAATCTAATCAAGAGATTTTGTTGTTAATAGAAAAATACATTATAAATCAAATAAAAACGTTTATTGCAACTATTTTAGGAAGCAAGGGCATAAAGTTCGAAATTGTTTCAAATAAAAAAATGACGGAAGGCCTCCAAAACCAAACAAAGCTGAAAAGGGGAACTAGTGAGTCTAGCACTGCAATTATTATGACCTTAGCAGCCGTTACGCCGTGTATTCCTAGCTGAAAGCGATCCAGATAGTTGGTATGTGGATAATGGTGCGACAAATCACATAACCAACCGTAATGATATATTCGATACTTTTGAATATTTTAGGAAGCCTCATAATGTTACAACAGCAAATGAAAACTCAGTAGGTGCAGTTGGAAAAGGGCGAATCACACAGTAGAATCCAATATCAATGGCAAATGGAACAAGTTTAGTCTTTCTGATGTGTGGTATGTTCCAGGTATTAAAAAGAACTTGTTTTTAGTTCTTTCCGCCCAAGATAAGCATCTTAAAAGTAAATTCGTCTCAGGTACTGAGGAATGCAACTTAATGGTTAATGGAAAAGTTGTATTGGTTGACAGAAGAAACCAATTTGGAGGACTTTATAAATTATTTAAAAAAAATGTAATTCCTACAAATACAACTCCAGCAAATAGCATTGTAACTGATAACATATTAGTTTATCATGAAAGACTGGGTCATCAGAATAAAGACATGTTAAAACAGTTATCTCTCGTGAGCTTGGTATAACAGTACCTTTAGATAGTGAACTCTGCGAAGGATGTGTATATGGAAAAGCACATAGACTGAAGTTTAATTCAAGATCTCGTGCAGCTGTACCTGGTGAACTATTTTACACTGATCTATGTGGCCCATTTATTCCTTCAAAGTCAGGATTTTTAGCCAAATCTAAACTTGCAGAAAATCTTAAAATTCTAATACCCAAAGTAAAAGTTGCTGGTTATCAGATCAAAGAACTTCTTAGCGATAATGGTGGAGAGTTTCACAATAGCCAAGTTCGAGCTATACTTCAGCAAAGTGAAATTGTACAAAGATTTACTATGCCGTATACTCCTGAGTAAAATGGTGCCGCTGAAAGAGAAAACCGAACACTTGTTGAAACAAAGCTATGATGCATTCAAAAAGAAGTCTGCCACAGTTTTTGTAGGCTGAAATGATCAATTCATCAACATATATATTAAATCGTTCAGGTACTTCGACTATTCCAAATAAATCACCATATGAAGTTTGATTTAGAAAACAACCTAACTTAAAATATATGAGGATCTACTTACTATGCACATATTCCTAAAGCCTGCAGGAAGAAACTTGACAGAAAGGCAGCAAAAGGAATATTAATTGGATATGATAGTGAACATGGCTATCGTATATGGTGTAATGAAAGTAGCAAATTAATTAGGTCTAGAGACGTAATTTTTGATGAACATCCTCTGGTTTCTTCTAACGAGCTTCCTATTCTTATTCCGGAGTAGGAAGAAAAAGAATCACAAACAGATTGTGAAGAAGAAGATAAAGAGACGGAGAACCATAGTAATCAAGAAAATAGAGAAAAGGAAGAACTTTCTGAAGAAACTGAAAGTTGTATAGGGACAAATGAAAGGGAGCTAAGAAAAAGAGATCAAATTAAGCCACCTGCAAGGTTTGAAGACTATGTTTTAACCACAGTTGCTAGTATACTAGACATCAATGAGCCATCTAGTTACCAAGAAGCTATCGATAGTGATGAAAAATTACACTGGATTGAAGCCATAGAGTCCGAAATCCACTCGCTTGCAGAAAATGAAACCTGGGTTATGGAAAAGTTGCCACCAAATAAAAAAGAAATTTCATGCAAATGGGTGTACAAACTCAAAACCAATCTAGACGGATCAATCGATAAATACAAAGCGAGACTTGTGATTAAAGGCTGTTCCCAGAAGAAAGGCATTGACTATGAACAGACCTTTAGTTGTTTCTGGCAAAAGCTGGAATTATACGTGCTTTAATAAGCATCGCGGCTAGCCATAAAATGTCAATAATTCAATTTGACGTTGCCACCGCTTTTCGGAAAGCTTGAAGAAGAAGTTTTTATGAAACAACCTAAGGGGTATTCTGATGGAACCGATAGAGTTTGCCGTTTAAAAAGAAGTTTATACGATTTAAAACAAGCCCCAAGGTGTTGGAACAAAAGATTTAACGAGTATTTGACGAGAATAAACTTTACAAAAAGTGGAGCTGATCCTTGTTTATTTATTAAGAAAAATGGGGTAGATTTGCTGTTATTAGTGCTGTATGTTGACGATGGATTAGTGGTTTCAAATAAAGAAAGTTTAAAAGAAGATTTTATAAGAAACTTGGAGAGAAAATTCAAAATCAAAGTCCAACCCGGCTCATACTTTCTAGGTCTAGAAATAGGAAACAGCGAAGATGGATCTATTATATTAAGTCAAACAGCATATACTAAAAAGATTTTAGAAAAATTCGGTATAATGAATTGCAACCCGGTATCCAAACCAATAATTAAAGGAGAAGGAGACAAAAAGGAATCAGTTGTTGACAATATGCCTTATCGAGAAGCAGTAAGATTTCTAATTTATCCAATGACTGGTACCCGTCCCGATATTACGTATGCTGTTAATGTGGTCTCCAGAAATTTAGAAAATCCAAGCCATAATGACTGGATTAAAGTAAAACGGATATTTCGGTATCTCAAAGAAACTCTGCATTATGGAATTATGTACAAGCCAAATTATAGAATAGGATACCTAACAGCATATAGGATGCAGACCATGGTGGTGATGAAACTACTGGAAAATCTACTACGGGAGTAATATGTACATATTCTGAAGGAGCGATATCCTGATTGAGCCAAAGACAAAGCTCTGTATCTATATCTACAACAGAATCCGAGTTGGTAGCTGCTAGTGAAGCTTGCAGATAAATCGTCTGGCTGAAACGCTTATACAAAGAAATTTTGGAATTGGAAACTACAGAACTAAAAGTAGATAATGAAGCTGCAGTTAAACTCGCGCAAAATCCAGAGCTACATCGGCGAACTATACATATTCGAACACGACATTTCTTCGTAAGGGAATTAGTCAATGAAGAAGAAATCAAAATTATAAAAGTAACGTCAGAAGCGCAACTAGAGGACGTGTTGACTAAACCTTTGTTTAAACCTTGACTAACGGTTTTATGCAAAGAAGTTGGTCTTGGAGAAGTCAAATTCTTAAATGAGAGAAGATGTTGAAGTATGCTAGCCTCCTACTAACTAGCATTTAAAGAATTTATTTTTGAATCAAGTAGTTATTAATTTTTGGTTTTTTTGATTGATGTTATAATTGATTGAAGTGTATCCACATACTTTGAGTGAGTGTATCAGAAATAAAAAGTCTTCTTCTTTATTCTTTTATTGGGCTATGTTCTGAAGAACAACTTACCCAGACAACTCATAAGATTCCAGAAAACTATTTACAAAAGTTAATATTAGTGTTAACCGATGTAAATGGTTTTAACAGGAGTACGACATATATAAGGTATTACAAATTAATTTTAAAAATGTTTAAAAACTTAATTAACAGTTTAAAATTTGATTCGTTGAGGTTATAAAGAATAGTATAAATATTAAAAGGCGCAGGTAAACCAGTTTTAGCCATTTCACTGTACAAATCAAATGTTGTTTGATTAATCGGACACTCTAAAAAAAAGTCGTATTTTTCTTTTAAGTGTTTAATTAAACCAACATTCTACTTTGAATCTCACATTAAAAATTTCTACTTCTATAACTGTAAAATTTTATATTATAGAAACTTGTAAAAAAATAAACTACACTTCGTAAGATACATATTGTGACTAGTTTACAATAAATATTATATTTAAACATGAATATATTATTTTACTTACATTAAAAGCTTTAAAAAGACATTGAATTGATTTCTTCTTGTGCTTTCTTTAGTTTTACATTTGATTTTTATCCTGTTTTACAATCTGAAACGACGTAAATCTTGCTTTGATGTTTTTTGTCACTCATGTTACTTGTACTCAGGTACATTTTTTCACATTATTTTGATTCTTTTTATCAATTTTTTAAAAAATTGACTTACATAGAAAATTGACTGCGCTGTCATTAAACATGGCAACTACAGTCAATTTCGTGAACTTTATAAAAAGAAGGACGGAAATTTGAAATTTGACCATTGTCGATTCGCCTCCTTCTCTCTAGTCTTTATAATATATCCAAAACAAACCAACCATGTCATTTTAGGATCGCTACACTACAGATAGGGATGCAAGATAGGTACTTTAAAAGTATCGATACTTTTAAATAGTATCGAACATATTATGTACTGAATATTTTTTCATAACCTAGTATCTCTATATTGATGGTACATACATTTTGTCCGTATCTGGTAGCTTTTAAATTAACTCCAATTAGAAACTAAATTATACTATAAATGTTGAATAAAACATTCTACATCTATTTAATGAAACTTGTTATAACAGGAACGGAATTTCTATGCCTTGAGCGTATTTTGAAACAGCAAAGTTCTAATGGTTAACTCCACATTTGTGTGGGTTGCCGTGCGTGTATATATTGTTTTAGCAATTCTAATTTAAATTTCGTCACCATTTTATTTGGAAAACCAATCTATTCAGCTGCTGGCTTCACACAAAAACTTTTATACTTGTTTTACTTGGATGTAGTTTGGAAATCGTAGTTTAAGATAGGATTTTCTATTTCGATTCGATTTTATCGATAATCGATTTATTGGAATCAATTTTTTTAATGAGAGATCGATCTAGAGATTGATGGAAGATCCTATATGTCCATCTGCTTTTTGTCTTTATTATTCTTTTCACTATCAACATCTCAGAAGAGAAGGATGTGGTCAACGGCTAGTATGTACTTTGTGGATCATGGTGTCTTGAAAAGTAAAAACAATAGAATAAAAGTCTAATTCTAAGATTTTAAACATTAGAATGTGCTTTTTGATTTTAAAAGTAGAGAGTGCATAGTTTTAATTTGTTTTATCCAGTCTTCATGAGAACGATATTTTTCACTTCTGATTTTTCTTGCATCGATATTTGGCTTTACCATTTGAATCGATAATAATAATCGATCTATCTCAGCGAGGTCGGAAACCGTAGTTTAAAAATAAAACAAATCTATTGGTACCTTCGATCATGTATTAGGATAGATAGGCCTTACTCGTAGAAGTAGTGTATTTAATAATTATCTAGACGGGTAAACAAGAAAGGTACAACAAAGAGTACAAAGAACAGTGCAGTACCTCATGGAAGGGGTCACAAATTGTTAATTAATATAAAATGCTAGCTGAAAGCCGTAGATTTTTAACGTATTTAATGACTGGTTCGAAAATAGTTCTTTGGATCTGCAAGAAATTGATAAGAAAACATTTAAAATGCATGCGAAACAAAAAATAATGCCGAATTAGGGATCATAATACCACATAGAATCCAAAAGACCTACAATTTTAATGAGAAAAACACCAAGGACATGAGCTTGTGATATGTCAAATCAAACGGTGGAGGATCACTTGTTTAATGTCAGATTCCATACTTTTTTAGTCTTATTTTCAAGAACATACTCTACTACTCATTATGAATTTTAAATAAATTACCTTTTATTTTTTGTAGAACATTAGACGTCCTGAGATACTTTACGAGCAGGTTCTAGAAATAGACTGTCGTGTGATACCTGTTCTGGAAGACAAATGCAAGTTGGGTACTCAAACGAAGAACTGGAGAATTGTCGAAGGAATAACAGGCGAAAAATTCTACGTCACTAAGGAAATTAATGAAGACGAAGTTAAAAAGACGCTGTTGACGATTAAGGAAAAAGGCATACAGAGCATCGCTGTTGCTTTGCTACATAGCTACACCTTTTATGAGCACGAGTTGCTGGTTGGAAAAATAGCTAAAGATATAGGTAATATATAGTCGTCTCTGATAGTTTATAACCAAGATGCAGGTTGATTATTATACGAGTAGTTCGATCAAAAGAAAAGAGTTTTAGTAACTAGAATATTTTCCTCAATAGGTATCTTATACACACTTCATAACCTCACAATTTGGCTCATAAATTAAATTGACTTATCTCGGTTAACCTTTTATAACCTATTAGTTAAATCCAATGTCCTGTCAGAATGAACCAACAAAGTTTGTTAACCTGACTTTTTCATTAGTATTTGACTGTTACTGTAAATCTTACAATTAGTATTCAAATATATTCTTAATAAATATTAAATTATGCCATTTTCAACTAAATACACAAAAAAAAATAATACAAACTTAGACTAAAAACCTCACTAGATGTGTTTTTGTCAAGGGAAACACGTACTTTTGTTGTTTTTGCCAAGGGTCCACCATTTAATGTTACGTAATTTGGATTGCCTAATTCGCACGGTTTTCTAGTTCAAAATATGGCGCCCAACGTGGGGTTCTAAAAACAGTGGCGTGCGAAAAAAATAGTGGTTCATATAAAATAATAGAATAAAAAGTGTTTTGAAATATTAGTGTGTAATTAATAATATTACTTATCATGGATAAGAAAATAGAATTAAAAGGGGGAAAGACGATTGAGCAATTAGAAAAAAAGAAGGCAAAGAAGAACAATTATTAGAGGAACATAATTTAAAAAAAAAGCAATACTTGAAGTGAAAAGTAATGAAAGTAAAGAAGTAAAGAATGATGAAAATTATAAAGAAACAAGAAAAATACAAATGAAAAATTACTAAACTTATAAACAAGATAGAAGAAGATAGTATAATGGAAATGATTAATTTGTTGAAGAAAATTAATGATGGAGGAAAACAGAAAACAAGACAATAACATGGAGGAAAATGTGATTAAGAAAATGGAGGAAAATATGATTAAGAAATGGATGAAAACAGGAAAGAAGATAAAGAACAAATACTGATGAAGATCGATCAAAGAGACCACAGTAGTAAGAAAGTAGAGAATAAAGGAAGATATACAAGAAGTAAAACGAGTTAAGGAAGAGGTGGTTAAAAAATTAGAAAACTAAAAACATGTATGGAGGAGACATTAGAAGCTATAACACAAAATATATGAGAGGAAATAATCGAAAGTATAATATAAATTGAAAATTTGCATGCAGAAAAAGATTTTAAATCAGAAAGTAAAGAGGAAGTAGATAAAATTAAAATAAATGAATAAGACACAGTAGAAAGAATAATCACATTAGAAAACAAATATATGAGTACTTTAACAGGAATAGATGGCGCCCAACGTAGGGCTTTAAAGAAAGGCCTTTCGAATCCATTTAATTTATGTGTCAAATTGTGAGGTTATGAAGTGTGTCTAGGGTACTTTTCATAACAATATATTATTTAAAATTACGATATTTTTTTTCAGGATTTAGTCATGTTTCTTTATCCCACCAAGTCATCCCCATGGTCAGAATCGTACCGAGGGGTTTCACGGCATGCGCTGACGGATATTTGACACCGCACGTTAAAAAATACGTCAACGGCTTTTCGAGGGGGTTTAAAAATAAATTAGAAGGAACCAGAGTGTTGTTTATGCAAAGCGACGGTGGATTGACACCTATGGAAAATTTCAACGGAGCCCGGGCTATTTTATCAGGACCGGCTGGTGGGGTAATCATTTAATAATATTTAAAAATGCTTTCGGTACATCATCGTATTATTTTAGGTTGTGGGGTATGCGGTGACCACTTGGCAAAAAGAAACCGACCTTCCTGTCATAGGTTTCGATATGGGTGGTACCTCCACTGACGTATCTAGGTTCGCTGGTACCTACGAGCACGTTTACGAAAGTACCACAGCTGGAGTGACCATACAAGCTCCTCAACTCGACGTCAATACCGTTGCAGCGGGTGGAGGATCAATGCTCTTCTTCAGGTAAACATTTTAGAGCTACAAAAATAGCAATTTTAATAAAAAAAAATGTGTTTGTAGATCCGGACTGTTCGTAGTGGGTCCAGAATCAGCAGGGGCTCATCCAGGACCAGTTTGTTATAAAAAGGGTGGTCCTTTGACAGTGACAGATGCGAATCTAGCTTTAGGAAGGCTTCTACCAGAATATTTTCCCAATATTTTCGGTCCTAATGAGGATTCCCCTTTAGATAAAGTGCAGACTTTGAAAGAATTTGAGAAGTTGACTAAAGATATTAACGAATTTTTAGTTAAATCCGAAAGTAAAACGGCAAGTAAATATTTATCTTAGTTTTATCCTAGTTTTATTCTAGTTTTATCCTAGTTTTATCTTAGTTTTATCTTTTTAGGGCTCTATGTCGATTGAAGAAGTAGCTATGGGATTCGTTAGAGTGGCCAACGAAGCTATGTGCCGTCCAATCAGAGCACTGACGCAGGCGAAAGGCTACGATACTGCCCGACATGCTCTGGCTTGTTTCGGCGGAGCAGGGGGACAGCACGCATGCGCTATTGCCAGATCCTTGGGTATGACCACGGTGTTCGTACATAAATACGCTGGTAAGTCAAAAAACTTAATTGTACAGGGTGTTTTATTATGAACGCGTATATGTTGAGGATGAGTAGAAGTCACCAAAGTGGATCCTGAGCTTGATAATTTCTCAGAATCGGTGGAGTGGCAGGGCTGTACTTAAAAGTAGGTTTTTAGCTGTTAGTCCAATCGATTAACTTCTTTAAGGATATTAGGTTCAAAATTAGTTTCAATGAAATAAACAATAGATCCTATTTGCTGCTTGATAGATGCTTTTATTAGTCAGATTACGCCGTCTAGTGACATATATGACAGTTAATTAACCTTGTGACATATGATAATGCCAGTGAACTTGAAGGTCTCAATTTTCTCCAGAATTGACCTTAGAATATTCTATAGAGATTTACATGGAACTAGTAACTAAATTTATTCATTTACTGTGGCCAAGAGTAATAATTATTGATGACGATTTTAAGGAGTTGATAAATAATCAAGCTCAGATTCAGGAAAGCTAAAATTTTTGGTGAGAGTGCAAATTACAAAAATTAGTTTTTGTTTTTAAATCTTCTTCTGAAAAAAAAGCTTATTTTCACCTTTTTTATAGGCATCCTCTCCGCTTATGGCATGGCTTTAGCGGACGTGGTCCACGAAGCCCAAGAACCCAGCGCTAAAGGCTACTATACAGAAAACTTCAAATATTTCGACGATAGACTTAAAATTCTAGGCGATAAATGTAGAAACGAATTACTTAAACAGGGTTTCGATGAAAAACACATTGTTCTGGAACCCTACCTACACATGCGATACGACGGCACTGATTGCGCCCTAATGGTCCCACCTTCTCCCGCCTCTGATTCCACCCCGAAATCGGGAGATTTTTTGAAGAGCTTCGTAGAGAGATACAAGCTGGAATTTGGATTCGTCATCCAAGGAAGAGATGTTATTATTGACGATATTAGGGTAAGATAGTGATGGGAAATTTAATAAAACCCTAATTAGCTTCAAAATATTAAATTTATTTATTTAAGATATTTTTTGATTAATATGTATGTATACAGGGTGACACTTTAAAAAATTACAATGGTTCATAAACTAAAGATGCTTAGGATACGAAGGGTGAACTTAAATGACATCCCCATCAACGTCTAATTGGTTTTTAATTATTATATACTATTGAAAAACCCTGTATAGAGTATAACTTATATCGTTAAAAAGCATTTTTTACTACCTTTCCAATGATGTATGACAAGTAGGGGGTTGCTTATTTATTTCTGTACTTTATCATTTCGGTTAACTGGACTATAAAATAATAAAAGATATATAGCTCAGTCAATCAGAACATATTATTTCTTAAAAAAAAAAACACGTTTTTGTTCTCATAATATATAAAATAAAAAATCTTATCGATTGACTAGACTATAAATTATATATAGTTTGGTAAATCGGAACATTTTATTTATTATAGAAAACAAGATTCAAGTTAAAAATATTTTCGGTTAACTGGAGTACAAAATATTAAAATAGATATAGCCCGGTCAATCGTAAAATTTTATTTCTTAAAAAAACACGTTTTTGTTTTCATAATATATAAAATTAAAAAATCTTATCACTTGACTGGACTATAAATTATATATAGCCTGGTAAATCGGAACATTTTATTTATTATAGAAAACAATATTCAAGTTAAAATTATTTTTGGTTAACTGGACTATAAAATAATAAAATATCCCGCTCAATCGTAAAATTTTATTTCTTAAAAAAAAAACACGTTTTTTGTTTTTATAATATATAAACTAAAAAATCTTATCAGTTGACTGGACTATAAATTATATATAGTCTGGTAAATCGGAACATTTTATTTATTATAAAATACAAGATTCAAGTTAAAAATATTTTTGGTTAACTGGAGTATAAAATAATAAAATAGATATAGCCCGGTCAATCGTAAACTTTTATTAAAAAAAAAAAAACACGTTTTTGTTTTCATAATATATAAAATAAAAAATCTTATCGATTGACTGGACTATAAATTATATATAGTCTGGTAAATCCGAACATTTTATTTATTAAAGAAAAAAAGATTCTAATTAAAAATATTTTCGTTTAACTGGACTATAAAATGATAAAATAGATATAGCCCGATCAATCGTAAAATTATATTTCTTAAAAAAACACGTTTTTTTGTTTTTATAATATATAAAATAAAAAAATCTTGTTGGTTGACTGGACTATAAATCATATATGGTCTGGTAAATCGAAACATTTTATTTATTATAGAAAACAAGATTCAAGTTAAAAATATTTTCGGTTAACTGGACTATAAAATAATAAAATAGATATAGCCTGGTCAATCGTATAATTTTATTTCTTAAAAAAACACGTTTTTTTGTTTTCATAAGTATAAACTAAAATAATCTTATCGATTGACTGGACTATAAATTATATATAGCCTGGTAAATCGGTAAAAAAAAACTGCATCATTGACGGGACTATCAAATAAAAAAATTGAGAACATTGTTTATTTAAAAAAAAAACGTGTTTCATTCTCATAATGAAAAAAAATCTTTTAGCTTGACTGGACTATAAAATGAATATAGTCTGGTAAATCAACACATTTTATTATTAAAAACGATTTTCGTTTTCATATATTATACAAGAAAACTTGCTCGATTGACAGGACTATAAAATAAATAAATATAGTCCAATAAATCGGGAACATTTTATTTATTACAAAAATCATGTATTTTCTTCTCTTATCGAACTAAAAAAATCTATTGAGTTGACTGGACCATAAAATAAGTATAATCCGGTAAAACGGTACATTTTATTTATTAATTAAAAAGTTTTTCGTTTTCATATATTATATAAAATAATGGAATAAATGGAATATAAAATCGATAGCATTTTATTTATTAAAAAACTAATTTTTCTTTTTATATAGCACAATAAATCTCTTGAGTATACTGCACAATTTATTTACTATTAAACAAATAAGTTTTTCGTTTTTATACATTACACGAAAAAACCTGCTTGATTTACTACTATAAAATAAATAAATACAGTCTGGTATACCGGGAACATTTTATTTATTAAAAAACCACGTTCTCATATAGAAAAAAATGTTTTCGGTTGACTGGACTATAAAATGAATATAGTCTGGTAAATCGGCACTTTTTATTTATAATTAAAAATATTTTTTGATTTCATATAAGAATATACAAGAAAACTTGCTCGATTGACAGGACTATAAAATAAATAAATATAGTCCGGTAAATCGGGAACATTTTATTAATTTAAAAAATGTTTTTCTTGTCATTTCAAATTAAAAAAATCTCTTGAGTTGACTGGACTATAAAATAAATATAGTTAAGTAAATCAATACATTTTATTTATTATTAAAAATTTTTGTCGCTTTCATATATTATATAAAAAAAGTCTTGGATTAAATGGAATATAAAATCGATAGCATTTTATTTATTAAAAAACTAATTTTTCTTTTTATATAGCAGAAAAAATCTCTTAAGTATACTGTACTCTAAAATAAATATGGTTTAGTAAATCAGCACAATTTATTTACTATTAAACAAATAAGTATTTCGTTTCTCTATATTATAAGAAAAAACCTGCTTGATTGACAATATTATAAAATAAATAAATACAGTCCGGTAAATCGGAAACATTTTATTCATTTATTTATTTATTTAAAAAACCACGCTTTTGTTCTTAATTAGAATCAATTTTTTTTGGATTGACTGGACTACAAAATGAATATCGTCCTGTAAATCAGCGTACTTTATGTATTATTAAAAAAAACTTTTTCGTTTTCATATATTATACAAGGAAATATCTTAGATTGAATGCAATATAAAATATATAAATATAGTCCAGTAAATCGGGATTATAATACATTATAGCCATTGTAAGTTTTTAAAATTGCTACCCTAAGTAAAGCGGACTTAGATACACACCTTGCGGTACACCTAATCCACTGAATTTCTTTTAAGGTAAGAGGTATTGGTAAAAGCGATATAGATGAAGAACCTTTAATAGAAATTTCACAATCTACACCGGTACCAAATTCTAAAACGAAAGTATTTTTCGAAAATGCCTACCATGAAACGAATGTATATCTGCTTAAAGACCTGAAGGCTCAGCAAACTATCAATGGACCTGCCATTATTATGGACCAACTGAGTACTGTATTGATTGAGCCGGATTGCATCGGTACCATCACCAAATTAGGCGATATTAAGATAGTCATTGGTAGCGGTAAAATCAAGACTATTGGTTCTCAGCTGGATTCTATACAACTGAGTATTTTCAGCCATAGGTTTATGAGTATTGCTGAACAAATGGGGAGGTAATAGTTGTATTAAACCTCAGATAAATAAAATAAATACTGTTTTCTATTAATCAAATTTTAGGATTCTTCAACGTACTTCTATATCAACAAACATCAAAGAGCGCTTGGATTTCTCTTGCGCCCTATTTGGAGCAGACGGTGGACTGGTATCCAATGCTCCCCATATTCCTGTACATTTGGGATCAATGCAAGAAGCAGTGCAGTACCAAATGGGAGCTAGAAAGGAATTAAAAGAAGGAGATGTCATCTTGTCAAACCATCCTGGAGCTGGAGGATCGCATTTGCCAGATTTTACCGTTATAACACCAGTATTTCACAAGTAGGTCTCTAAATAGAATTAATTATTGCATATATTTTATTTCCTTTATTATAGAGGCATCCAGAAGCCAATCTTCTTTGTAGCAAGCAGAGGTCACCACGCCGATATCGGTGGTATAACACCAGGTTCGATGCCGCCGCACTCTACCAGCTTGGACCAGGAAGGAGCGGCTTTTAAATCATTCCTTTTGGTAGAAGGAGGGAAATTCCAAGAAGAAGATTTCATAGCTGCCATCAAGAAAGCCGGAGGGCGAAATCTGTCTGATAATATATCAGACGTTAGAGCACAAGTCGCAGCTAATAAAAAAGGTAAGTTTCTTGATATATCGTGTATAGATAAATCGAAACGAAGCGCGCATCAATACGGATCTTGCGGAACACCAATTTTTTTTTATCGTTTTTATAGGTATAGATTTGGTTAGTGAATTGATAGCCCAATACGGGCTAGACGTCGTGCAGGCTTACATGGGTTACATACAGCATAACGCGGAAGTTGCTGTTAGAGATATGTTGAAGATGGTCGCTAAAGACGCGAAACGTAGAATGGGAAAGTCTGTGCTGGAGGCGGAAGATTTCATGGACGATGGATCTAGGATTAGGTTAACGGTGACGTTGGATGAAGAGAAAGGATCAGCTTATTGTGATTTTACGTAAGTTTTTTTATTTTATACAGGGTGTTGCTTGTGAAATTGACCGTATTAAATTGATTATAATTATTCTTGATTTCTTCTCTACTAATATATTATGTGATGTCGCGTGGATTTGGAGAGATTAACCATCCAAAGGACTTTTATAGAAAACGTTTTGAGGACGTTCATTTTTCGAGCAATGTCCGATTTTAATCTAAGTTGAACTTCCATTTCTGCCACGTCACAATCTCTTTAAGATTTCACAGCAGTGCACCCGATAAATACTTGTACGTACAAACTTTTATCCTCGAACACGATGTAACTTGTTTCGTTTTTTTTTTCTTGCAGCGGCACCGGCCCAGAGGTATGGGGCAACTGCAATGCCCCGAAAGCAATAACTCTATCGGCATTAATTTATTGCCTGCGTTGTATGGTCGGCCATGACGTGCCTCTGAACCAGGTAAGGACTAAGAAGAAGAATTATTATGAGCTTGTGTACTATAACTTCCGGGGGGATTTATACCTTCATACGGCGAAGTCATAAAACTAATGTACTTAATGGCGGTATAAATTTATTTTAAATCACTTTGTCGAGTTATGGGGAGTAAGGCTGGTTAACGTTGTCTCGCGTCTTTAAAATACGGAAGTAGGATGAATGGAAATGGCGCAGTCAACAGGATCGCTATTCTGATTGAATTTTTAAATATTTGAGCTGATTTTAGAATTGAACGGTTGGCATTTCGGTCGCGTATTATTTATACAGTCAAAATTTATTTATGGTTCAGAGCATATTAAAATATAATACAATAATAGGTATAATTGTTGATTTACATTAGAATTATAGTTATCATTAGGGTATAATGTTGAACTATTCTGATATGTAAAAGGATAAAACTTTTGATGAGATCGTATTAAAAAATATTTATTGGGTTTTTTATTTTGAACATTAGTTTTAAGCATTTGTTTGTGTTTAACACTTTCTTACTGAAGCGTTTTTCTCATTGTAAATAAAACTTTTATATCTCTTTGTTTTCTTCTACTCAGAAGAGTTTTGAGATGACAAAGAGTGTCTAATTCATCATAATTATATGTAAAATTTGAAATAAATTCCCTGTATAATAGAAGCTATACCAAAAGATTTGTACAAGTTTAATCGACATTCAGCAATAAAGTTGGCGTCTTATTTTGTTTCATAAAACTTGAATGCTTATATATCTTTAATATAGCTGCTTTCAGAACTTTTCAAATAATGTAAGAAATAAATGTCTTTTCATGCAACTCCTGATGAATTTTAATGTCTTCTCGGAAATTATAGTCTTTTGTTTTAATATTTAAAAAATAAAATAAAGAATTGATTGATAAAGTCGAACTGAAATCTTAAATGGAGGCAATAAGTTAAATGGAAAAATATCGTGATTTGTCACCTATAATGCTTTACCAAATCCACCCCCTTACGAGGGAATTTTAACCCCAAAAGCTGAGCTTGTACATGGACTATAAGCAGTGGCGTAGTGATACAGTTGGGGGCCTGGGGCGGCTCTAGCCGAGGGGCATATATATATATATATATATATATATATATATATATATATATATATATATATATATATATATATATATATATTTAATGAGAAAAAATAGATACACAAACCAGAATAATAAAAAGTAGAAACAAATTTAAAAAAATTTAACGATCCTTGGAGTTCTGAAAATTATTAAGTCATCAAAACTCAGATCTCATTTTCAATGGATAATATAGCCAAGCTTGTCAAACGAGACCGGCTTATTGTAGAACGGAGATAGTTTTTAATTGTAGTTCTGAAAAACTTCTCTCACAAGAAGCCACAGACACATAAATAGTAAGAAATAAGTCCCTTAGTTATGTTTGGTAACGATTAAGAAAAGTCCATTTCAATAACAAACTTTTCAACATTTGCAATGACGTTCATGAAGCTGCATCATCAATTTTTATTCCAGAAGCCTTCAAATGTCTTTTTAGCCTCTTCACTTATGGTAACATTTCTTCTTCCTCTAAATCATCAAAAGTATTTGCGAACTGATGTATATAAGTTACCAATTCTTCATTACTTGCATTTTTTCTGAGTGTACAACAGCAAATTGTTGATATTCATTGTTCATTGATGTTAGTCTCTTTTCTAGCTCCACATGAAAATTATCAATGCAATCTAACATAGCACGCTTAACTTCTTGCTGTGGAGTCAAACCTACATCCTTAGGTTTTCTCCTAACATATTTTAAACTAGTGTGTGATTTCTGCTTTCTATATCAATTACCAATTTAGCACAAGTTGTGGCTGTATATTCTAAGGCTTTTGAGACCAGTTCTTCTCGACTCTCTTTTAAAAACATTTTTAAGCTTCTCAACTTCAACACACATTTTTCCAAACTAATATTTTCGATTTGGAGGTATTTTTGCACATGGTTTACTTCAGATAAAATGTGGTACCATAACCCAGACAGCACAAATAGATCCAATGGGCATCCATTCGATATACAATGTTGGATGTCTGGACGTCCAAAGACGAGTTTTTTCTGGACTTTCGACGTCCAATGGACGTCCAATGAAGTAAACAAATGGCACACTTTCGACCGTTCATAGAACGTCCAATTCTGGATTATATTTGGACGTTCAATACTGGATATTCAAAAAACGTCCATTCCCGGATTATACCACTGAGACCACATCCCTACTTTTTTTTACGCAACCGCAACTCATCACACACTATTTTATATTAATAATTTATTTATTATTTTCGCAACCCGCTATATACCATTTATTTATTATTTTTTTTTATTAAAAATTACTTGACTAGAGCAGGTATCGAACTCACTACAGGTCCATTGTCTTTCTGGGCATTCAAGTACTAGGCGACCTCGACCACAGAGCCACTTGAAAAATTCTTACTAGATACGGTATTAATAGAATAAGATTTAAAACTTCCGCTGATAGAATGAAATGTAATAGATTTAATTTGTCAATTTTTAATGACCAATTCTATAAAAAAAGGAAGTGTATGTAAATGGGTATTATCTGGTAGGTTAAATAAATAATAACCTAAGATGGACGTCCACTGGACGTCAAAATAATACTAAACTTAAAATTAAGTCCAAAAACAGACGTCCTATGGACATCGAAATGCATCTGTCAAATTAATGATCGTAAATGGACGTACACTGGATGTCCAAATACGGATGGACGTTCTGGGCCTCAAATGGATCTAAAATGGATGTCCATTGGATTATGTGTGCTGTCTGGGAAGTACAAAAAAACAAAATTAAAATTATAAATGTTTGTTTTCAATACCTCCGCTACCCCCTCGTATCTAGATTGTCACGAACATCACACAACTTGTCTAGAGCATTAACCAATTTTTCGAAATTTTTAAATATCGTTTTAACTGCATCATGATGAGCACTCCACTTAGTATCACTAAGGAGATTAAAACCCAGAAATGATAACAGCGATTTCCTTTCATGAGAATAAATGATCCAATTCCTTAAAATCTTTTCTACACTAGGAAGTTGTTTATAAAACCAATTTGTTGTTAACTGCTAAGTTTGGCCTTTTTGGTTTATTCCTTCTGAACTGACTCAAAAGGTCCATCCAAATTTTGATAATTTGCACTACCTCGTCTAATAATGTCGGTTCTAAGTCCATCTGGGGCTGGAATGGGCCAATCCCCATCTAAATTTCATAATATATACTCCGATTCATCCGCTTCAAAGTGTATCGAAGAAGTTTTGTTTTTTCCCCATCTCTTCCTTCTTCTCCCTTCTCTTCGTCCTTTTCTTTTTCTACTTCTATATCCTTTTCTTCTTTTTTTTTCTTGTTCTTGAATGCTTATGTCTTTAACTAGTTGATAACAGCTTATACTTGGACTTTCAGTAGATGTTGGACATCTGGTTGCTGGTTGCTTCATTGATCGCTTGGCATGATGCTCTTTGAGTAAATTTCAACAGTGAACCCGACAAAGGCTGTATTTCTCATAGATATATAACCAAGACAGATAGGATTATTTACAAAATTTTTGAAGAATGAACGGTGGTGTCCGCGGTAGAAACTCAATAATCGGATTGAACATTGATGCCAAGTTTACGTGCTTTTAACTATAGATATATATAACCAATACAGATTACACAATTTCTGAAGTCAACGCGGATGATCCTCGACAGAAATGCAATATTTGGATAAAATTTAAATATTAATGCCAAGTTTGCGATGTTTTTAACTGTAGTAATGTTATTGCGTTTGCTTGAATTACTGTTAGGTCTTTAAATTGTCAAAAAAAAAATAATGTCTGACAACAGCGGAAGTAGAGTAGACCGCAATTGTGGAGGGTCGTATATTGTTTCATTCATAAAAGTTCCTTCGATACAGTACTAGTCCAGGAGCCAGTGAATTTTTTCGTACTTGTTTTCCCGGTCCGTGTATATTTAAATATTCTATTCCCGGTGAACTGTATATTTAAAATGGAACGCCAATCTATTAACAAAAGTAAGTCAGATTGAATTCGCGCATTACGTCACATCGATACAAGTGAGATTGTTTACAAAGTGCCTTTGCAGGCCTATTTTGCCCATTTCATGTATTTGTATTTAAATCATGTTAAATTACTATTTTTGAAACTCAACAAGGAGAAAATCCAATTAACTCTTTCGTTGTGTATATATATAAGATAAATTAACTGAAGTTTTATTAGTAAAGTATTAATACTAAAATTTTAATGTAATTTACAGAAAAAAGCTAGGTATGTATTTGTTTTTAAATAATTTGATAATTTATGAAAAAAGGGAGTAAAAGTGGAATGACCAGTGGCCAGTAGGTCAGTCAATACAAAGTATCATATATTTCTATTATAACATAACTAAAATACCTACATCTTTTAATCATAAGGACATAAGTTAAAAACCATTTTAATATATGCATTAGAATGAAGTAATAATACCTTAAAGAGACGAGGTCTTGAAGTTATAGCTGGTACAGCATGTTTTTTAAACGTTTCCTCATTGCTGCTAGAATGAAATCACTTACTATGAAATGTGCTCTAAAAACGGCATTTATAGCAGTCAGTGTTCAGTCTTAGGATCTCTTCCTAAAGCCCTCATCCAAGCTGCATACATATTAAAAAATTATTTAAAAAAAAAACATATATACCTATATAGTTTTCGGTTCTGGGTGCCCTAAAAGAGGACACTTAGCCGACAATTTGGCTCAGATAGCTAAAACCCAAAAGTCACACCCCGAACCAGGACGTATTGCTATCCTTTTAAGCAAAAAATAACTACAAATAACTTATCTGAAAAATGAAGGCGTCTAACTTTACACCAAAAAAACCATACACTTTTTCCCATTGTTGCAAGCACCCGATGACGATTAGGTAGATATCAACTAGAAGCATGTACTTAATGGTTATAAAGCTTATTTTAACACAAAAAGAATAAAGCACTAGTCGAAAAGCAGCAATCAAATATAAATAGACCACAATATTAAAATTCAAATTAAAAACTATATAAAAGACAAATACTCTAAAAGCGCAAAAGATCTAAACCAAATAAAATGAATAACCATAATAACCTAAAAATCACACTAAAATTGCAAAAACTATTACTGTAAAATAATGAGATTACATCAATAATGCATATGCGTCGAAGTATCGCAAATATCAAAAGTACAGTGTTTCCATGAAAATTTAGCTGTTTTTAGCAGTATTATAGGACCATTTTTACCACGCGCATCCAACGATATTGGCGTTCCACAGTTCACTGTATTTTCCTCACACCTCTAGTATAAATGATTTGACATAACGAAACTAACAATAATTATATTTAATGTAATAAGTGATTCGTGAATTCTAAATAAAACAATTATTATATAAAAGTGTAAAACGAAATGTAATTTATTTCCCTATTTTCTTCTGTAATATCTTCAATTATTATGTTTAATTTCTATAAATAAACCAACTGGTTAGGTGAAACATTGTGATATAAGATTTTATTTATGTGTCCTATGCGTACACTTTAATATACAAAACACCTGGAACATTCTTTAAATAATTGTGGTCGTAGAAATAATTGTTACATAACTCGTTTGAAAGTGTATTTTATGCACTTGCCAAATATATTATCCATACAAATTAATCAGACTATTTTTTAATTAACTTCAGTACATCTCTTACTACTAAAACTATTTTTATCAATGGAAAAAAAAGGGCCGTGTTCTCGTATGTTTTGACGCATTTTCGGCCTCAGCTCATCGGATCCCCCCTCTAAATATATATGAATTTTGCTTAGAATTGCTAATCCTACAATTCTCTATTCGTGCTTGCTGACTGGGAAAATAAATACCGAAAATCGTCACTGTCTCCTGGACTGTACAATAGATGATGATGAGAACTTCACAACAAATACACTTTTATGAATGGCTAGTTGGGGATGTGGTATTTCTTGTTTCTTAGTTTCTTGTTTTTTCTTCTTTTCCCATCCACTGGGATAGTTTCGTTTAATGTTATCCCAGGTTGCTTGAGTGAAAAAATATTAATAACATTTAAAAATGCTTATCTAGAAGTTCGGCATATACTATTTGATAAATGCAGTTTTAGATTAATATAGTTTTAATTTGCAAATATTTAACCACTCTACATATTACTTTACACATTGTGGCACATTAACAACTAAGGAACAGTCAGACAGGAACCACCAACAAAGAAAAACACGCAAATCAAATGTGAACAAGAGTCATCTTACCCTTTCACTACTAATTCTCCCTTGAACTGCAAACTAAAATAGCTGGTACTGTTGGTGTTTGCGGTAAACTGTCATTATCATAATACGCATACGTATAGAAGTTTAATTCGTAAAAATTTATACAAATAGATAATATTTTCACGATTAAAATTATTTTATTAAATAAAACAAATATAATTGTCGAACATTCTGGGGCCTTTTTTTGTTATTTAGAAAATACAATTTTTCATATTTGGGGGCCTATGCCGACGCGGGGCCTAGGGCGGGTCGCCCCCGCCGCCCCACCTACGCTACGCCACTGACTATAAGTCTAGATTATGAAGACCACGATCCGGCCATCTAACTAGATTATAGCTTTGTCCCAACATCTCACAAAACCGTAATATTACGGTCATCGTCATGCGCAGTAAATTAAAACCTATCAATAAAGCCCAAAGTCGAATGGTTTTTATTTACTGCGCATGACGACGACCGTAATATTACGGTTTTGTGAGATGTTGGGACAAAGCTATATGTTGTCTACAAATGTTTTTATACTACTATTATTTTCAGGGTTGCTTGGCACCAGTCAAAATAAACATTCCCAAAGGATCTATCTTGGATCCAAGCGATAACGCTGCCGTTGTCGGAGGTAACGTCCTAACCTCCCAGCGAGTAGTAGACGTAGTGTTGAAGGCCTTCAGAGTATGTGCTGCTTCGCAGGGATGCATGAACAATATAACGTTCGGGGATGAGACGTGGGGATGTTACGAGACCGTAGCAGGTGGTAGCGGGGCGGTAAGTAGCCATTTTTCAATTTTAAGTTTAAGTTTACACAAGTAGATGGTATTTAAATACAATTTAAACACATACAAAAATTAAGCCGGCCCTGAAACTGCAGATTTATTAAATTTTCAAAGCAGTTTTCGCATTACAAATTAATCCGTTGGAAGTCGTTCGGGTATCGCGCCGCTGATGAACTACGGTTCGAAAGGGCTTTTCGCGCCCAAAATTCCTCTAAGTCGCGCCGACGGAGGGTCAGGTCGGGATTTATTAAAGTGAAAACAGAGAAAACCCTCGAAAAGTTATCGCCGAAAGATTGTACTTTCTTCGTTTCTGCTCCGCCGACGCGACGTCCGTCTAAGACGACGCCGAAGCTCATATTTTACCAGGAAGATAATTAAAGAGAAATATGATACCGGTTCTTGCGTTTCTGATAATTAATGGGCGCCAACTTTTCCACTTAATTTGAATTTGTTTTAAATACAAAACGGACCAACGATGGGATGACATTAAATTTATAAACTCGAAGTCAGTGAATTCATCTAGAGAGTATAAATATGTCAATTGGACGTCCATATATATGAATCGCTGATTGCAGAAAGGATATATGTCCCTGAACTTAACTTCTGAGATAAATGCAAATAACTGTTTTTCGAACTAGAGCATAATTTATAAAAAAAAAACTGAATGTGTATGTAAAAACTATATCAAAACACTATCCCTTTTAGGGGTAATTGAAAATATTTGCTTTAAACAGTAAAAAGTTATAGACCTTTTAAGTTAACTAACATATACCCTTTCTGTTATCAATTGGAAGAATCAAAAAGAAAGAGGGAGTAACTGACGAAAAACACTTTATTAAGACAGACTGTAAGAAAAAATTGGATTAACAAAACACAGATTTTTAATTTATAATAGGCCAACTAAAAATATTATCCCAAAATTCTTTTGTTCCTTCAACGTCGTTCACATATTTAGCCAATTTCTTTATGTGATCCATTTTATCTGGTTTTATGGGAAGTTTTCCTGTTAGGTAACAAAATACTTTAGGTTCAGCTACAATATTGGAAAGTCCTAGACAAAATGTATGTTTCCCGAATCCATTAATGTAGTCTTTGGCAAGTACTACACCTTTCCCATCATTCTTGCAGAAGGAAAACTGATGAAAGTTGCTGATGTTAAACGCAACTTTTCTATCTCTTGGGTACCTCTTTGAGTAATTTCAATAGAAATAGCTGTCCAGGCCACCAATCTTTAAAATTCACTATATCCTTTCCATCCACAAGATGGATTAGAAATTTAGGTTTGTTGCTGGAAGATGCTATAATTTCTATATACTGACGTATGGTATAAACATGATCGACTTTTTTTAACTTTCTTTTAATGTTACCAAAGTCTCTATCGCGAGGCAGAAACGAATGTCCTCGAATTGGAAAGTATTGCTGAATATCATCAAATCTGCCGGAATCTTTCAGAAACAGGCACATTCGAATCAGGGTGTTATTTTTGTTTTGACCAGGACAATTGTCGCTAAAGAGATGCAGTTCCCTCACACTATCAGGTATATATTCCTTTATATACTGGTAGAGGAAGGAACATACTTCATTAGGGCCTTTCTTGCCACAACCTTCATGATAAATGAAGTAAACAACTTGGTCAGTCTTCATGTTGTGGATGCAAAAAACGCTTACTGTTGATTGTCTTAAATAGAATAAATCCTGTGTCCTGTTCTGGTATTTTTGGAAGCTGTAAGTTTTGCATATAGTCAAACGCAAGGGCAACTACATTATTAGGCTCTTTGATCTTCTTTATTGACTCCTGCAGTGCCGTGTAAAACTTTTTATGCACGAGAATTTCAGCAATAGCAACTCTTTAAGCATTCTCATTTAGATCCTTACTCTTAATTTTGATTGAAAGATTCTCATAAGTGCAACATGTGTCGACCTGCTGCCTACCAAACTTCAGATGAAAATCGTCCATAAAAATTCTGTTGTAGTATTCGTACTTAATCTTTGAGTCTGGATATTTTTCTTTGAACATCGAATACATGGTCCTTACTGTCAATTCTGAGCTAAGATAATGATATTCTCTTGAAGAATAATGGGACGTTTTTACAGGAAACGAATTTATGTGCTCATTAATACGAATATTCTCTTCGGCGGGGATAACATTAGCTTATTTTCCTCTTTTATCTGTAGGCGTAACTCCTGCTTGTAATAACTGCTGAATACGTTGTAATCTTTTATTACTGATGGAGTGAACAGATAACAATGCCTTTTTACAAATTATTTTTATTTCAGTTGCAATCAGTACGTAATATTTAAAACTACTGTTACGTTTGTTGTTCTCCCTAAGTTGTTGTACTCGTAGGCGGCGAGTTTTGATACTAGAAACATGAACAAGTCCCTGTAAATACAAGTCCTGTTCGTCTTTTGTAGCTAAATTATAAAATCTTTCAAATGCCTCTAGCTGCTGCTCATTAGTAATCTTTTCCAAGCATTTTAACCTGCAGTTACATGGGTCTCCAACAGAGTTAGCAGGAACAACATTACCTTTATAATTTATGTACTCTTGGCCTTTAACACTGAAAAAAATTAAAAAAATGCAATAGATTATGTTTTATTATAACGACTAAAACTTACCGGCACTCTTTAATAATATTCCTTTTATATCCATCGCAGTTAACTACCCCTTTTTACGTTTTAAATTATTTACGTCCTCCATGGCTGGACAAGATAATCTGTCAGAAAATTAAAATAACAACTACCGATATTTCACTAGCAGCGCCACCTTGCGATCCGATTGACTGTATAAAGGGTACAAGTCAATTGACTTAGATCTTTTCTGTACTCAACGTTATTGAAATGAATTATTATTTTACATGGTATTTATCAGAATATGAATCCTTTATGCGCACAACGATGAGGCTTGGGTTGAACTGTCGATTCACGTAAAACTCTCAAACTATGTGAAAACATGACTTGTACCCTTTCTACAATCAGCGATTCATATATATTTATTGCTTACCCATATGTATGGAGTGTAGACGTAAGAGTATACATGCTAGAAGGGTATACCCTAAAAACTACACCATGAAAAGCCATCTTGCAAAAAGCGACTAAGCCTATAATCTTAGAGAAATTTTTATAAGACGATATTAGTGCTTTTCGTCGTCTGATTTACATATGGGTGAGCTATCTTTATAACTATAGAGCACTGTATCTTTCCCATCTAGTACATGAACGCCATCTTACTTTTATAAATTTTGGAGGACATTTTTTGAGATGAACAACCGTATGAGATTGACTTCCTTTCTTCTACACTCCATACACCATTAGTTTTACAGTATTTGTCACTCTTGACAATTGAGAGTGACAGAGACAAAAGTAATAATTAATGCGCAAAATCTTGTTCTAAATATTGTACAATATTTTTTAGAATATAATAAACAAAATATTTCAAAACAATAAATTTATTGTTTTAAAAATTGTACAAGAAATTGTACCAAATCTTGTTCAAGAAATTGTGTAGTCTAAAACAATATTTTAGAACAATTGTATCGATTGCTACAAAAACTGACCACCTACTACTATTCAACTCAAATCACCCTTTTCAACATAAAATGTCAACTCTATCTTGTTATGTACACAGACTCATTAACATCCCTCTTTCAGGGTTAAATTAAAAAAAAACTAGTTTTAAACAATGGTATTGTACCAGAAATAGTAGATAATACGATCAATAGGGTTTTAACTAGGAATAGGAGGAACATAGCATTTCCTAATACATCTAAAAACTATGCACTAATATATATATCTTTACCTTATTTTGGCTTTATCTCAACTTATACACCTAAAATAATTCAGAACAACGTCTATAACCTTAAAATTTTGGTCTAACCCGGGTGATCCCAGAACCATTTTTGAACGCTCTTTCTACTTGTCCTGGGACAGTCTGTCTGTGTCATATGTCTCCTGTCAAATGTCAAAATTAGGTACGTTCACATTGAAGTATGTGGGTATGTTTCTCACCTGTTGTATTCAATGACATATATAGTTTATATAGACTGCTCATCCATACGTAATTATTTTGTTTTATGTTTTGTGGAAGAAAATAATGGTAAAAGTTAGGTTAAATAGTCAAAATATTGCATTTTATTATAATCTAAATGAAAATATCAAACAAAAATTAATTTCCATACTTAATTTTACTTAAAATATTATAAAAAGTTAGTTACTTTAATAAACTAATGCCAAAACTTCGAAATTCGCACCTTCAGATAGTAGGATGAAACGCCTGTGTTCTAACATCACTTGTAGATCGTAAAAACTAAAATTATAGTAAAATTTGTTTATTTTTATATAGAATACACGATGCAATTGATTTTTATCAATTTATTTATCTATTCAATGAAGCGATGCAATGCTAAATGTCAACCTCAATCTCTGATCAACAAATTTGTAGGTTATATCATTCTTCTCTTTTTTTAAGGTTGTGAATGTTTTTTGGCCTGAACACTCAACATTAGCGCATTTGCTAGCGGATTATTATATGGACATTTGCGAAAAATTGATATAGATGTGTATATAAATGTGTTTTTACATGTATTTGGTGTTAATTTTTATTTGTAAGCATTTAGAACGTTCTCAGGACATGATAATCAAAAATACTTCTACAACTAGCTCAGTTGAAACTCCGTGATAGAAAAAGCAGACTTTAAATTTCAACGATCTTGATTTATTCGGTGGCTATCGTGTCATCAAGCCAGATTTATCTAGTACCAGAAATAGATTACGAGGGATCTCGGAAAAATTATTATTCCAAATTAAAAAAATAAAGAAATTAGTCATTGAAACTTTAAAAATTATTTTCACGTAATAGTAGCTCCAATTTATGACAAAATTTCTTTTTCTAGGGACCATCATGGCACGGCTGTTCAGGCGTCCATACACATATGACCAATACCAGAATAACAGACATCGAAATCGTAGAGAGACGGTATCCCGTTCACGTGCGCAAGTTCATGTTGAGATCCGGAACTGGTGGAAGCGGTAAATACAGAGGCGGTGAAGGGGTATTGAGGGAACTAATGTTCAGATCGCCACTTACTTTGTCTGTGCTTACCGAGAGGAGGGTTTTACAACCGTATGGAATGGAGGGTAAGCGTTTAATTAAATTATTTAAAATTTATATTATAACAGAACGTTTTAGGTGGTGGTCCTGGCAGTAGAGGTGTTAATATCTTGGTGAGAGCGGATGGTAGGAAAATTAATCTCGGTCCGAAATCGGCGGTACCAGTACTACCAGGGGTAAGTGAAATTTCTTTATTTGCATTTCTTATTCACAATGATAGTAACAGCAGCTATAAATATTAAAATTAATGATGTAAAGTTAAATATTGCAGAAAAATTAACAAACTTGAGGTTGTCATTGACAATAAAGTTACCTCGTATCCTTCAAAATGTCTGTGGGAATCTAAAAATAATGCTGTACCTGAACAGATATATTTTAAGGATAGAACCAAGAAAACTTTTATGTATTTCATTGGTTTTATCCCATGCAAACTATTGTGATTACGTTTATAGTCCTTGTTTAATATCTGTTGATGTTAGAAGACTGCAAAAGTTGCAAATTTTTTGTCTTTGAATATGCGGCATCAAAAAATTTGATAAAAGTAAATACTCGTTGGCTCAATAAGTGACTTTATTTTATACCCTCCTTCCTTTATACTTTTATTTCGTCACATCTGGAATTCTTCTGGTAAACTTAATTCAATTAACAAATAAAGATTAAGTTCACCTCATTTTGTAACTACCTAACAACTAACATTGCCAGGAGTTGCCTATTTATATTTACATATTGTTTTGAGGTTATTGTATACAAGCAACTCGTAAAATATCTCAATATACAAAATGTTAAATTCAGTTTGATTTTGAGAGAAATCGATCTACTATAGACGATATTAAATCTCTTACAATATCAATTAAAAAACCTATTAAGAAAAGTGCTGAATTTGATTGTGTTGACCATAGCATATTAATTTTGAAATACCTGGTATAGCTGTTGATTTAATAAAAACCTATTTATCAGAAAGGTCACAAATTGTTTTCATTGAAAATAAGGCAAGTACGAAGCGAATTGTTAGAAAAGGAGTTCCGCAAGGATCGGTGTTGGGCCTTCTCCTTTTTACAATTTATATAAATGATCTTCCAAATGCTTTTAACAATCCTGAAATAACAACAGTTATGTATATTGATAATGACACGTTTTTAATTAGCATAAATAAGGGAGAGGACATTACAAATGAAGCTAAAGATTGGAACTGAATTAAAGCAAATTAAATAATTTATCGCAGTTGGTACAATTGAAATTAAAGTTTCCTTAATATTTTTCTGACTACCCGTTAATATTTAAGACGATTATGTTAAAAAAAAAATAGTGGATATTGCATATATTGTACAATCTTAACAAGAGCTTATGTAAATACCGAAATTCTTCGGTTCTCCTGATGCCGACATAATAAATGTACAAATAAAGATGGTAATAAATATTCACCCTTGAATTAGTCCGTTTGAAATGGGGTGGAAATCTTTTTGTTTGTCGCTGTTATTGCGGCGTTCTTTTCTTTGCCGATTTAGTCCAGTGTCAAAAATATATTTTATCCACGACCACTACTGAATTTAATTCTTCCGAAGCCACTTATAATAAAACAAAGAAAACATTATCGCTCTGGAGATTAAAAGAACATTCTGAAACACTTGCTTTTTAGGCATTTTACACGTATTTTATTCTAACTCTATGTATAGTGCCCGCATCGTAGATAGTAATGAATTTCATGACTGATGGTTTTAAGCGTATTTAGTTTGAATTTGCCTGAATGAGGCTAAGTGGCGTTTGTTAAGTTGAACTTAAATTGGTGATTATTAGAGCTAGGAATATATATGCAAAATGCCATATTTTGCATATGTTGCATATATATATACAATTTTTGATTTTTAATGCATATATTGACATTTTGTTAATTTTTTGGCATATATCTGACGTACTAATTGGCTGGACATATTAAAATTATGAGTTTTGGACCAAAATAATATTTTGTAAAATGCCTTTACAGGTCGTTTTCCTAAAATTTTGAAGGATTAACTTTTCCCTGTAATAAATTACGGTTAATGATGTAGGTACTTGAGAGGATTAAATTATAAACACCCTCCTTAAACCAACAAATTTTGCTAAATATCCTTTCAGGTAGTTGTATTAATATCTTCAAATTTCTAAATGACTCAGTTTACTTTCAACTTCATTTTAGTCTTTATTGTTGTGTTGTGTTAACCAGTGGGAATAATGGCAAAATTAATTGTCGTAGGTAAAATATTATTCAGATTTTGTTGTAGAAGGTGATAACCAGGTGTTTTGTAAAACATGTTCTAAAATTGTAAGTATTTTTTTATTTTATATTTTATTTTGACCTTTCACAATGGTAAATCAAACGACAGTAAAATATTATTTCAACTCACAGTTAAAAAAAAGTAGGGCAACTTTACAACGTACGCATTTATTTAATTTAATTAAAACTTTAACATCTATAGGAATTTATTTGTTTTAGATTCCATGTAAAAAAAAGTTTCAAATCGACCAACACGCGAAAACGCCCTCACATATAGCAAAGCAGAAATCTAAAGACACTCGCAGATAAAGTCAACTTCCCTTGAAACAATATTTAGAATCTGGATCGTCTAGAAGTGAACAAGCTATTTTTAATGAAGATTTATGCAAAGCTTTAGTGACTTCGAATATCCATTTAATACGATTAAATAATCCAAATCTCCGATCATTTTTGCAAAAATACTGTAAATTTAATATTCCAGAGCAAAGTATATTACGCAAACGTGGTGTTGACAGTTTGTACATTGAGACTAGTGAAAAAATTCGTGAGATTACCGTTGGAAACCATTTCTACATTATTGCGGATGAAACAACAGACTCTTGTGGTCGATATATAGCCCATTTAATGATAGGTTCATTACGCGAAGAAATGCAAATTGGTCCATATCTAATCGCTTCAAAGCAATTAGATAAAACAAATAACTTGACAATAACTCGTTTTATCCAGACAGAATTGTCTTCCTTTTTTCTTCCGGAAGCCGTTCCAACAGAAAAATGTTTATTGCTGTTATCCGATGCTGCCCCGTACATGATAAAAGCCTCACTAAATTTAAAAATGTTTTATGAAAACTTAATCCTTGTTACATGTTTGGCTCATAGCCTTAACAGAGTTGCAGAAGAAATTAGGTCTAACTTTACTTTAATAAATAATAAAAAATATTTCTTAAAGCTCCTTTAAGAACTCAATTGTATAAAGAAAAATTTCCTGAATTGCAGATGCCACCGGAACCTGTGATTATTCGGTGGGGTACCTGGCTTAAAGCTGCCTTTTTTTACGCAAATAATTATGAAAAAATTAAAGAAATCATATTTGATTTTGATGATTCATCTAAGGGAATATCTAATACAAAGAAGTTTTTTCAAAATCACATATTACCAAAGCAATTAGTGTTTTTAAAAAATTATGCATTTGTACCCAAAATTATATTAGATTTAAAACAAAAAAATTTACCTTTGGTGACTTCCGTAAATTTAATTAAGACGTTTGAATCAGAGTAAAAATGTCCAGGGCGATATTGGAAAGATGATTTTTCATAAATTTTCAAATGTAATTTTAAAAAATGAAGGATTTATTGTTTTAAGAAACCTTGCTAATATTTATTCTGGTAACTTTGAAGATATTAATACTATTCATCCAGATATTTCAGGAAAAGTTAAGTTTGCACCTATTACTTCTGTAGATGTCAAAAGGAGTTTTTCTTTGTACAAGGACAATCATTTAATACAGATAATTTAGAAAACATCTAATTGTTCATTCGTTTTATAATAATGTTGATTTGTAAATAAAATTAGTTAATAATTAAATAATCATTAAGTATTATATTAGGTATTGTAAAATAAAACAAATAATATATATAAATAAACTATTTCGATCAAATAACAAATTACTCTTATTGCAGATGCTCTGCATATTTTTCAGTTTTTTACGCATATATTGAAGTATTTTGCGGCATATATATGCGCATATTTAACTACTTTTTGGCTGCATATATTCGTAGGTCTAGTGATTATAATGATTCTTATATGGAATTTGCATTCAATTGATTCAAACTCGTCCACAAATATAGGATCCAGTATCCGTTGAAGCGAATTGAAAACATAGTTAATTTGATTGAGTTCATGGAAACACATTATATCAATCAAAGCCCCGGCAGTAGCATGTTGAATTCTAGTTGGAACAACAAAATTATCTTTAATTTCCCATTGGACATGTGGAAGATGGAAGTCACCACATATTATGAATTTATGATTTTTAACTTTGCTTTCTAATGTTGAGTATAGAGGAATATAAACACATCTAATTACCGTATCGATATTGTTTATTTTAACCTTAATATCATCATATTGCGTTGGAGTATCAATCTTGTCAGTTGTAACATGAAGTAAAGTTGCTATTAAAGTTTCACGATCGTATTTCCAATCATGTTTCCCGTCTTACATCTTGTGACCAACATCTATTCATGAAAAATAGATCTACAGTTACAAACCTTGTATGTTCGACGCAATTCATTTCGGAAGTCAAGTTGATGTAATATACACAGATTTCTCCAAGGTCTTCGACAAAATTGATCATTTCATCTTGCTTCACAAGTTAAGTTCCATTGGTTTATGCGATCAAATCATTCAATTGATTGGTTCGTATTTGTTGGGTAGGCATCAATATATTCAATGTCGTGGTTACAGGTCAAAAAATTTTGAAGAAACATCAGGAGTTCCGGAGGGATCAATTTTAGATCCTCTTTTATTTATAAATGATATAGTCGCTAATATCGAGCATATTAAAGTTGTAATGTATGCTGACGACCTAAGCATTGCTTGCGACTTCAAAAGTGTTTGTCCGATATTGTGAAGTGGTGTCTCGATAATTCACTTCTTCTAAATCCTGAGAAATGTTTCTCAATGTCCTTTACTAAAAAAGTAACACCTATAATTATTGATTATAAAGAACATTGTTCCAAATCGATCCGAATGTATAAGAGATCTCGGAGTTCATTGTGATCCTGAACTAACTTTCGTTAAACAGTTTGAAACGATGTTATCTGCTGCTAACAGGAGCTTGGGGTTTGTTATTCGAAGCTGTTAAGAATTCCGAGACATATTCACTTTAAAAATTCTATATATTAGCTTCGTACGGTCAAAACTTGAA